ACATTAGACCATGTCTCTTAAGGTAATAATTACATAACTGTTCAGATAAATGGGTTTTTCAAGAAACATTTATTTCAAGAAACTTCAAGGTATCCTTGAAGACCTTAGTGACTACCCACCCACATATTTAGGCACATAATCCATTTTAAAAACCTATGCAATAGCTCATATTAAAAAAAAAAATGATTCCAATAACTGATCTGTTTCTGTGTTTTTATGCCATCTGCATTTTTGACAACTGATTTTTTTTGACAGCATGGTCCATTGTGTCCAAGTTCACATCAGGTTTTTTTCTCTTTTTTTTTTTAAACATCATGTGACTACATATATAGTAAGAAAATGGGTTATATCACAAATTTTGGTTTACTGGTTTTTTAACTGAAAAAAATTGTAAAAGAAATATTTCTATTATAAGGGTGAATTTATATAATAAAAAGAAAAAATTCATGAAATGCTATGTAAGTATATTGGGGTTACAAAACAATTGTGATTCTAAGAAGCTTTAGAAACAAATACAAAAATTAAGGATGATGTTTAGAAATTATATGGTTTACATATAATAGTGTGAAGTATAGATAAAAATTGCATTGTTTTATGAAATGTTTAATTAAAAAGGCTAATGCAGAATTATCTCCTTAGCTTACGTGTTCACCTAGACAAATTAACTGAACCTGTGAAAATTAGAGAGTATAATTTTTGTATTTTTTGGTGCAAAGTGCAGCTATTGAAATTGTCACTTATGCAGTAAGCTTTGCAGGTACAAAACCAAGCTACATACATTTTGCAAATGTTTTTGTAAAACCTTTAGTAACTTTGGTCCTTTCTTTATTTCAGATTCAACGTGTTACAAACAAACATATTCCACCTGTTACAACAATCTGGCATATTACTTTCTTGATACGTGATGATACAATACCTCTCAGGTTTGCTGAGTAGCAAAGAGAAATGTAAGCAAATGAAAAGGTTTTCCACTTTCACAGTTTTTTTTCTGCTTGGGGTTCTGTTTGTCTGAGAACTGTATGAATAGAAGCCATATTTTATAGTATTTCTTTAACCTCTGCCATCTGGTGTAGGTTAGTTTTTCCACTGCCAACATATCCTAGAGGCCCCAGTACCAAAATGTTTAATTTCTAAGTAAACATTTGGACTTAATAAATCCAGTTAAAAAAATAGAGCCTTATTTTTTTAAACTGTATGTTACATTTGCCACTAGTGATGACATTAGTAAACACAGAGACAGGTATGTGGGTTTAAAGGCTTCTGGCCATGACTTTTTCCATAGCAGACCTCCAGAGATGTCAGGTCACCTGACAGCTTTAATCAACGAGTTATGCTCAGTTATCAGGAAGGAACTTGAATATTACTTACTGACCTAAAGTCTGAAGTTGTGTCGAGGGATTTGCATCACCATAGCCAAAACCTTTTCTCTATTTTTTTTAATATGGACCCAAGTTATCTCACTGCAACAAGAGGGGACTGTTGCTACAAAAGAGCTTGGGCAAGTCACTAACCACTTAAAAAACCCAAGCAATATAATAACCATATCTCTAGGAACTTCCTTATGTCTGAGGAAGAGAAAAACCACAAAAATTGTCTGTCAGAATTCTACTACCAACAGGAGAAAGTTCTTTCTAAGCTTACAAAAGTATACTGTTTTGTTTTGTACTAGCCAGCAAATTATCAAATTTCAATTTGAAAAAATGAAGTAGTGTTGATTGTCCCAAGTTAATCTTTAGTCAGAGTGAAAAACTGAAAAAAACTTGCTTCTGCTGAGCATGAACAGACAGACAGGGTTCATCTTAGTATTTTTCAGAGGCATACAGTCCCCAGGGAAAAGACACATAGATAATAAGGGTGCACAGATTATAAAGGAAAACATTAAAGCTGTACATAAGCAAGATCTGAAGGGTAAATAAAATGAAAATAACTACTATCTTGTTACTTAATTCAAATTTGGGGAAAGTTGTGAAAAAAAATGTAGGAACTTTTGCTTCTTTACATGTCCACATGGTTAAATTTTTGAGTGTTTGTTTTTTTCCCTAAATTATAAAATACCAAGGATAGCTTGGTTTGCCACCTTCTCTTGAAGCATTTCCTATTCCTGAGGAGTATTCAGAAACATGTTTTTGGCATGAAATGAAATTTTAATCAAAATTCAGAAAAGGTCTTTACTTCTTACTGTCATTCAGTTTCAAATTAAACGTCTTAAAAACAAAGAACAGTAAATAATCTAATTAATGAGTGGCTCTTTTCTGAGCACCAAGATGCATTGCAAAATTATGCCCATTTAATTGAATTAATTTAGAATTTTACTAGTTTAATCAGTGCAATCTGGTAATGAAGATTCATTAGTATTTTAGAAGTATTTGTTGAATTTAAATGATAATTCTCTTGGGGATAATTCTTCTTGCTGAACAGCATGAATGAAGAGATGACGTATCACCTTTCAGCCAGTCTGGGATGTGAAATTCTGTGTTACTTTGCAAGACCACAAATTGCATTTATTCTATTATGCTTAGTTATAAACAGCAGCATCTTGGGAGTGAACATCCTCTATCCCACAGGGATAGTGGCTTCTTCTGCCTGGATGGACAACTGGTTAAATTGCCTCAATATGAGTCATCAGAACAGATAAATCAGTGCCCACGCTGTGGTCTGTTTAGTCATCAGTAAAACTTATTTGGTTTAATTTAGTAGTTTTCTAATTCTAGCTTACTTTGAGACCATTCACAGTTTTTCACTCTGCTTCTTAAATCTTCTTGCATTGGAGTGACAGTTTAGACATGCCCTGAAGGATTTACCTCAGTGTTTCTTTGTAGCCATTGATTAGTCCTGTGAACCTGTGCTCGGATTGGTATTGTGCCTGAGCTTACCCTGTCCTCTCAGCACCTCTTACCAGTCAGCTCACTCTCTGATTCACTTATGATTTTAAGTGAACTCAAGCCTCTATGTCCTGTGTCTGGCTAGGCATTTAAGACTGAATTTAGCCTTAAGAACCTAGACATGTGCTACCAGTCCATCTTTTTATCTGCCTTCTTCTGCTACAACCTTTCCTGTAAATGTTTTGTTAATGTGAATTTTTCAAAGGACTCATGATCACAACATTCCTGCAGATTTTATGAACCTAAACACCTATATGAGAAGGAAGAAAATCAAAGTCAGACCTCCAGCAAGGAAAAGACTAGCTTTGGTAGTTATATATTTGGCCATCCACTAAGTATGCAGCTCAGAGCCTGCCACAACACTGTTTTACGGATCAGTAGTAAAAGTAATTTTCATGAAATTGTACCTTTTGTCATGTCTGTCTTAAAACTGGGTGCAAAATTGGTCCTAACTCTCAATCTTCTCCAGAAGAGATGGGAGGGGAGGAATCTCAGACTAAATTCTAGCACATACACTGGACTCATAAACCCAACTCCTTCTGAGGGACAGATTCTGGGCTCTAACCCTCTTCTCTGTATATCCTGCTTAACAGCAACCTTCTCTGTTTTTCGCTAACGTAAATCCTATTCAGATTTGTCTCCATCCAGTCTACCTGCCAGGTGTGGGCTAAGGGTTTCACTTGGCAGCCCCTTGACATGTTAGATACTTTGTGATGCTGTTGCGAGGCCTTGGGTGGTTTTGACACAATTCTACTGTAATCAGTCCAATAGGAATGAAACTCTTATATTTAGACTCTCTATAGAGAGTCTAAATATAAGAGTTTCATTCCTATTGGACTACAATATTTGTATCTACAAATGCAAAGTGGTATTGAAGTCTGTGGATTTTTATCAGGAGTAAATTGGTAGCATGATTTAGATTGTTATGTTTGCTGAGTACCTAAATTCTCACCCAATAATTACTAGGTGTTTATAAATGTGGTATGCACATAGGGGACATATGATCATGGCACGTATATGTTGCCAATTTTTATTAGGTGACATACATAGAGAAAAAGAAGAGGTACCATAAATATCATACATCACATGTATCTGTCTAGGAACAATGAATAATAAACACTCTCCGGAACTTGGCAGAAGTTTAATTCAAAAACCATCACGGATTTTACATGGTTTTGTTAATTGTGTAATAAGTAGTCAAATAAATGTTCAGAAATTGAAATTGCATTCTTCTATAATACACATTTTTAAACAGGTTTCTTGGCATGCATTTTGTTTGTACTGTGCTTGAAGTTGTTTATGGCATTAGTGGTTTGTGTGTTTGTGCATGTTTGCATTCTGTCTGTTTATGAAGTATTTCACTGGTACCCTTACACAGCATGTGGTCGTTTGAAGATTATTTTTGATAGCATGTGTAGTCATGCATTTTGGTGAAAGGCATTAAAATAAGGTAGGTTAAACACTGCTTATATGAAGTTATGTAAAGCCACGGTTGCAGGATGTACATGTCTTCACAGAACTTAGATACAAAAAATACCTGCACCATTTTGAAGATGAAAGTGTGAGTTGGTGACAGTTTGTCAAAGAACAATTTGGTATATTTGAGTTTCATATAGATAGGGTAATTCTATTAATAACTGGAACATTCATGTATTTTCTTATCTTTTAGGTCCAAAATAATTAACAGATGACTCATTATATTATAATAATACCATGTGTGTAACTAATTTTTGAAATGATCTACGGAAGAAAAAACAAACCTCTAACAAGGATAATTTAAATCACTTTAGTCTCTAATTGACAGCTAAGTATAGGCACTCCTTTCAGGACCCCCAGACAGGGCTGTGAAATTAATCTGTGAATTACTCTGGGCTTAGAGTGTTAGTTGATACTATTCATGGTGTTTTGAAAGTATGGGTTGTTCAGCATGTGTCTAATGACATTACAAGAATATTATTTGCAGAAAATGTAGATGCTGAGCAGCTCTAGACACTTACAGGCTTCAGTTCTGTGAGGATTTTGTGAACGTTACAGAATAAAATATTGATGCTTTATTTAGATACCTAACTGTGATTTTAAGAGCATAATTCTTTCCATGAATCTTGTCCTACACTTCAAGAAACCCTTCTCCTGCAGAAATTAATGAGAACGTGCATGAAACTGAACAGAAACAGAGCTGACCAATAATAAATTCTTATGAAAATTCCACTTGTAAGTACTATTTCATTACTATTTTTACTAAAGTTCTTCACACATAGGAAACTCTACGTATCAGCTCTGATTTTCCTGAGAATATTTTTGTGAAAGTATACCTTTTTTTTCCTACCAGCATTAGACAATTTTCTAACACTTCTTTTACATCGCTGAAGTGCACACTTATGAGAGCTTAAAAAGCATTTCATTAAGTTTATCTGTCTTAGAATGTGGGAATAAATGTATTGAATATCATTGAATAGCATTTATCTTGTGCACATTTTTTTAATCTAGTTTCTGAATATAATGTTATACAGCTGTATCATTTATAACACCATGCTGTGCTGCACAACTCCAGTTGCTATTTATATAGTGCTGTAACATATACAGTGAAACCTTTGCTTAAGAATAATTATTTAAGGGACTTTAAGTGAATTAGAAAGAAGATAGTTAAAGGTGGAATTCAGACCCTCTAGCTACTCTTCCTGCTTATAACATTCTATACCTATGTTATTCTTGAGAAGTTTAAATTCAATCCACAGAAAATTACATTTCTATCCCTCAAGACATAGGAGCCATTCATATAGAAATGAGAAACAAAATGTGTACAGAAATAAACTTTACATCTTATGACAGTAGCACCAGGTTCATAGTGTCAGGAAGAAAAAAAATGATGAAAGGAAGCCAAGCCTGACAAACTGAATCATGGCTCATCTTAATGTTGTTGAACTTCATTTCACTAACAAAGCAGTCAGTTAAAAAAAGGAAAAAGTATGAAAAATCCTTTTTGTCACCATAATATACTAGGTTTAAAACAAATGTGTGTATACTATATAAATTCATAGATCTTGGCAACTATAGAGATATTTTTTAATATTTTAAATTGGGAGCAGAGAAGAGGATTTTAGTAAAAGCTATATGATGATGCAAAGGACTAGATTTGCTAATAATTTGTATGGTAGTATGCTTCCATACAAAATCGATGTAAAAATCCAAATAACTGTCATATAAGGACTAGTAAGTTTCTACAAATTAATTTGCAATATATTATGAAATGTAGAACATGTATTTGATATTATATAGAGAGATTATACACAGCATATGGAAGATGCACACATTTGTATATATACATATATATATATGTACATGAGTGTGTGTGTATGTGTGTCTTTTTCCATATCCTATCTATGCATAGATTCCTTCTTCAGGTTCTTGTGGGGTTTTTTTGTGTAAATCAGGAGTCATTTTGATAAAGTTAGTGTTTAAAATGTTGTAAGAGGTTATCGTCAAGTCCTTTATATACAGTAAACACATATTAACATTTAAGAGATGAGCCAAGACAAGACTTAACTACTCATTTTGGGCTGTGTCCAAATACTGGCTCACATGCCAGCTATTCACCAGTATAGTATTTAGATAATATTCTTTAGCTAACATGGATTTATGTTGTAAAGAAAGACCCATGTAATTTAAGTGTTTTTGAAAATAGAACTTAACTTTTATTTTATTTAAGTGTTTTAAGCATTTTAGCCTTGATATCTTCCAATTTGTGCATTCACTGCAGTGAGAGTACTGCTGGAACAAGCAATTGGACTTCCAGGAAAATTCAGCAGAACTTTTGGACTTAGAGCATATAACAAGTCCGGCACTGTTCAAGTGAGCATGATATTCACAACCCCCTAGAAAGCATTTTTAAAACCTGAGAAAGTATTTTTGATTTTGCAAAAAATATTACAATTATTGTCTAAAATTTTACTTTTAATATATGTAAACATCCCATGGGATTGAAAATATGTTAAGCTTCATTATACATATTGGCTTCAGACATCATCGTCCACTAAAAGTCACTTCAGTTCCAGGTGTGACTATTTGCCATGTAAGAAGTCAAGCAGTTAGGTAATTACCTGCTTTAAAAATAAAATTCTGTCCTTAAGACAAAAGGAGAAGGACACTTTTCATTCAATTTCCAATGAAGTGGGACTTTTGTTTCAAATGATATTTCAAATACTTGCTTTTCGTCTTGAAACTGGGTCCGAGTTTTCCTAGCCTTGATACAATTGGCATCCTTTCTCCAAACTGAAATATGCAAGCTATAGTACTTTTTCAGTAACACAGTTATCATGCAGAAAATCTTTGATAAGGCCATATTATGCAATACTTGTGCTATAGAGATCCATGAACCTGCAAGGTTATGTGACTGTGAGTAACCCCTTCTGCCATTTGATGTTTCAAAGACTTCAAAAAACTTGACTGTGAGACAGACTTCTTTTCCCCCAAAGGCTCAACATTCTTTTTGTGCTACATTTTTCAGAAGAACTCTTTGTTTGAAGAAGCTGGGCAGGGTAAAGCTGGCAGACTGGAACACTGCCCTGATGTGTTGTGACAGACATGTAATCTGCCATTTGACCACTGGTTCACACATCAGTGTTAATGTGAATGTGACACCTCTCACCATACTGTTAATCATGTATTACTCTTCTGTCTAAAATGTGGAGATGTGGAGTAGACTTTTATTCTTTTCAGAAGACTATGCAAAAAAATCTAGTGAAATGAAAATTTACAGCCATAAAGACAAACTGATTGACAGCTGCAAATCATAGTCACAGCAACATTGATATATACATATTTATAGATCCCTAGATTTCAAAACTAAAAAAGATCATTAGAACAGTTTGCTTAATCTAACGCATTCCCACTCCAAACGTGCAAGGAGTCAAACGTGTAGTCCCATATCAAGTGTGAGGAAACCTAGAAGATGGCCTTCTGTAGTCCAGAAATGAGATCAATTCAGCTTCTTTTCCTCACTAACACTTTTTCGTCTCTTGGGTTTTGTTTCTTTTTCTCCTGGTGTTTCATCACCAAAGTGCCCAGGAGTTCATCTGCTTTCATTCAACTGAAATGCATGTACCAGATGGTGCAAATAGGCCAGTATATTTCAATCCTGTATCCATGTCAAAAAACAGGCAGACTGCTGCAGTTCTTGGTTGCTGCACCTCATGGTATCAAAGGCTGGCTAAGAAGAGTGACACTGCTTGACAATGAATAAGATTTTTCAGGTCTGGCAGGGAAGTTGCTTTGGAAGCTAAAATCCTGCTTCCACTCTGTAGGAGTTGCTTTTCATGATTAATTAATTGTGTTTACGCTAATCTACAAAGGATATAAAGAAATATAAAAACAGAGCTACAGAAATGTGTCTAGTTAGATTACTTTATAGTAACCATTTCATCACCTGTGTTTTCACCATATGACCTACTTGCTTGTTAGAATTATAATAGAAATTGAACTACAATAGAAAGTTCTATATCGTACTTTTCAACACACTTTTGCAGGACAACCACTGCAATCTGTGTTTGCTGTATGAACAGCCTTGACTACCGATCACCTTAGGTCAATGAAGTTTGAAAGTATCTTGAGGGCTAGGCGGTGTGTTGAAGTACAGTGGCCGCTTTCATCTTATAACAGCTGCTTGGAAATTGACCTCAAGACTATCAAAATATCTTTGTAGTAAAACCTTACACTTGCAAGAGCCATAGCTCTAGAAAAATTATGATATGAGCTATCAAAGAGTGGAGAGTTGTCTTGGGAAACAGAAACTGGAGAGGTAGTGGTTGCAAGCTGTTTGCAGGAGGAGTTGACATTTTCTGTGTTGGTTTTCTAAGTGCTGTAATGATAGTATGGAGTATAAGAAGAGTTATACTTTCCTATTCATTCTTCTGTTACTAATCCCTCAAGTAAGATTCACATGTGATACATTTGGACAACAATGTAGTGCTTTCTCCCCCGTCCACTGTCACATCTGCAGGAGTATGTGTCTCTTTGAGACCAAGGCAAAGTATTCCTATGCCTGTTTGGGTTACCTGGGCATTTTTTGTCTTCCCATTGTTTACAAGCTAGGATATGAGAATATAATTTTAAAACCTGCTTAAGAATTCTGGTTTGACTGCTTTTAGTGGTCTGTGGGATAATTTATAAGCGGCCCTGGAAGGGACAGCACTCTTTTGCCAGTTTAACCTCCCTGTCAAACACTAAAACTTTTCTCTATATTTTTTATTTTATTGAAAATTCTTCATTTTTCTAAATCCCCAAACAATTTTTTTTTTGTCTGAAGAGACAGACACCTTATTTGGAAAGCTATCTTCCTTCCTGAACAAAGAATTTCGCAACAGAAAAAAGTACCATTATAGAGTTAGCTGCATGTTCATTTTGCATAGGTACGAGTTTAGCACATATATGGATATCCTTGTTGACAAATCTATGTGTATTTATATATTCAGAAGGTCTAGTTTGCCTACAGTCACGATATAGCTGATTGTTCTCATATGCATTGTAGTTACAAGAGTATAATTTTAAACTGAGGTTATACTGAAAAGAGTTGTTTATTTAGCTAAAGGCATGTAGTAGATTAGGTAAGAATCATCAAACAGGCCATGGTAGCAATTTATATTTAATGGAAAGGTGTAAAAAATAAGTCAGGAGAGAAATGTTATTTAATATGATAGATGGAAGTGCCATTAAGGCTAGTGGGATGAAGGTAATAAAAGAAAGTTTAGACTGTCTACCTGAAAAATTCTGGAGAGCAAACTAGTTGCACTAAACAACTGTATAATCTCTATGGGTAGGCATTAACAGTCCAATCGCTTGAGATTTTTGAGAGGCCAAAGGAGCAGCAAAATACATGTTGTGGAAGAAGCTTGAATTGGCAGGTAGATAGATTAACTGACCTATTAGTTCTTTTCGATTGCAAACTTCTATGATTTTATGTGGGGAAAATTCCTTTTCAACCCACGCTGGCAATCTGTTTATGTTCTGAAGTATGATGATTGACATCCCTTTTAACTTTTAACCTAGAGAATGTCTCTGCAAGTGTTATTCCTACATATAAATGTCTAATGCTTTTAATAAAAAAAAAAAGTCTCTCAATTAGGGGACTGTATCCATGTGCAAATGCAGAATGGAGATCACAACAGAGCCTGAGGTGTTATCGCGGCATGGGCAGCACTCCCACTCAGGAAGGATGG